TTGCATATGTACAAAAGTGGTCAGGAAAGCCATACATTGTATCCAATATGTTCAATAAAGTCCTAAAAATTAAAATGGATTGACAGTGGGGATCTATTGATTATGTATAACATGACTTGGGGACTTAGCAAAGACTTCTCCTTGTTCTTTTGCACACTGGATTTTTTGTTGTGAAGTTTTTGGATGTAAGAGGTCAAGAGAATTGAGACACATGTCATCTTATATATCCAAGAAACATGGGAAAGGATGATAGGATTCAGGGGTTGTGACATTAGAAATTGCCTTTGAGATGATTGAAATACACTTTAACATCTGGGAAGAGCCTTTCTTGTGGGTTGGAAGTCCTTGTAGTTGCTTCTTGCCCAGTCATAAATTATTAAATGCTTGTGAGTTCATTGGCTCTGCTATTGTGGTCAAAATAGATGTGAGATTTGCCATCAAGGAGAATATTGGAAACAAAATAAATCACATATTCACATTCTTATATAAGACTTTTGTGTCCATGCCTACAATATCTGGTGTTATTAATTATTTAGGAAACATGGGGTGGGGGGTGCTCAAAAGAAATGCAACTAAAAGTATCACTGAAACGTCACTACTGGTTGCATAGACAGAGCTGTTTAGTGTAACCTGAGAAGGGGGAAGGATCCTGAATGACTTGTAGGAGACCATGAGCAATGCAGAAAAAGTGATTTTACAAAAGGACACCATATATTAAAACACAAGCGCAGGTTTTCACAATTCAGACTGATAAATACAAGAAAACCGAGAACAGTGCCAGTACTCATAGAGAAAAATGCATTAAATTTTTTTTTCTTCATTGATTTTAGAGAGAGAAAGAGAGAGGGAGAGAGAGATAGAAACATCGATGAGAGAGAACATTGATTGGCTGCCTCCTGCATGCTCCCCTCTGGGGATTTGGCCCATGACCTGGGCATGTGCCCTGACCGGGAATCAACGACCTCTTGGTGCATGTGTCAATGCTCAACCACTGAGCCACACTGGCCGGGCAGAGAAAAATGCATTTTTAGAACACCTAGAAATTGCATAGAAAAATAGATGGATTTGTGAAGGGTTTGAAAACTCTCACAAGAACTCAGGACATAAGATCATTCATGAGTACAAGAGAGACAGTTAGTGTTTCTCCTTGCATATTATTCAAAATGACAGAGGACCCTGGTCTGGGTGGATTGAATTAGAGAATTAGAGTTTCCTTTGTTCCAAATAAATACATCCATTTTACCAAGTACCAGTGAATGGTGCCGCCCAGAGTTAGAACCCTAATACTCGTGTTGCCTACAAGGGCAACTAAGACAAGGTTTTGGATCTGCTGAAATCCTGGAATTGCTGCGAACCCTGTCACTGAGACACCTCCACGGCTCAATATTCAGCACAAGGAGGGCCATGGCTTGTTCGTGAGTCATGACGCATTGCTTGGTCACTGGTGGCCTCATTCATGAACAGCGCTGTCCACCAGCTGCAACACTGCAGAGCAGAAACATTACAAATTGGGTTTCTAGGGCTTGAATGTTTGCTACTGTACATTGAACAGATATATGTTCGGGATTCTTGTTCCGAAGTGAACTTTGCAAAATAAAATACATCTCTGAAGTCCTGGTAAATTGATATCCCATCCATGGCATGTACTGCAGTGGTATTGGTAAATCAATTTTAGAGAGCGTTCCAAACGCCATATCAGCCAAAAACTGAGGATCTTTAGAACACCGTGGGAGATTCTCATTTGAAATACCCTGCATCTTTCATATGCCCTCCCTAATTAAGTCAATATTTGATACTGATTTTTTAGTTATTGACATTTTTCTGAAAAGTGAAGCAGAACAACTCAGAGAGTTTTAGAAAAATATCTTTTGTTTGACTATTGTTCTTAACTGTTCTTTATTAGGCTGAACTCTGATGAATCCAGTCTTGCTTCTGATTTTAAATTGGAAACAAAAAGTAAAAGAGAAAACTCTCAAGGAAATGTACGCAGCAATCTGGTAGAAACACCGATGGGTATCAGCCACAGGCCAGATTGTACATGAATCTGTGCAGAGTTCAGCGAGGTAGCCTGAGTCTCAGGATTTAATACTGTCCTTACAGAGCCGTTCTGACAAAGTTTACATTGGAGATGAGAAAAGTAAATTGATTCTGTGAACATTTTTTTTAAAGTCAAATATACTAAAGGCGAAATAGAAAGCACAGCTCTATGATCAAGTGTATTTAGGAGCAAATCCTAGTTTTGTGCTCTGCCATCATCCGTTTCCAGATATATGAGCGCAGGTGGGTCACTGTGAGTGTCCAGCATCTTGTTCACGGAGATGTTAATATGGAAACTCCAGAGTTTATAGAATAGTAAATACATATACACATACACATGCACATGCATATATGCACATACAATACATATGCATATGCACATACACATACATCTACACCTGCATGTACATATACACATACATATATGTGCTTGTATACAAATGTGATGTGCAGTTGGTTTTCAGTAGCTGCTAGTTTCCTCATTACTGATATAAGGGGATGTACATTTCCCCAAATTTGAGTCTCATGACTGAGCATAACTAGCGTGGCGTTCGTGCCCAATGTCACTGGATTTGGCTCTTTCGACTGGAATTGCGGTGATCCCTTCACACAGGCTGACCCTGCAGCTGCCGCCTGTCCGGTGCTCTGCAGGTGTCGTGCTTGTCCCTGGGGAAGGCCGAGCTGGGGTCACCCCTTGCTACATGTGGCCCACTTCTTCCCTTCCCTTCCCTTCCCTTCCCTTCCCTTCCCTTCCCTTCCCTTCCCTTCCCTTCCCTTCCCTTCCCTTCCCTTCCCTTCCCTTCCCTTCTCTTTTAATCCTCACCCGAGGACATTTTTTTCATGTTTTGTTCAGATAGAGTGGGAGGAAGAGAGAGAGAGAGAGAGAGAGAGAGAGAGAGAGAGAAACATCGACGTGGTAGGGACACATCGAGTGGCTGCCACCCACACGACCCAACCAGGGCCGGGGACAAACTGCAACCGAGGTACGTGCCCTTAGCGGAACCGAACCCGGGTCTCTCTGGACTGCAAGCCGACACTCTAACTGCTGAGCCAAACCGCCCAGGGACCCCTCCTTTTCTTCCCTGCCCACCCTGCACCGTTGGTCCCCTCAGAAAGGTGAAGGCTGAAGGCTGTTTTGAGGGTGGGGTGCAGATAGTCCCCTACCCTCCCATTCTAGAAGTCCTAGCAATGCTTCAGGACTTTAAACCACCAACCAAAACTCAGTTCTTGCTGTGTGTCCAGCAGCAATAAGCACGGAGGCTGCGAGCACCGCTAAGACGGGCCTGTGCGCAAAGTGCTCGAAGTCATCTAGAGACACAGACCCCCAGGGGCAGAGAGCGCCCGTCTCCGGGAAAGACTCAGGAACCCCAGGAACTGTGAGCCCTTGAACCGCCGCTCCATCGGAGGACGGGCTGAATGCAGGCAGTTTGGGTCTGAAGCATATGAAACTCTTGGTTTTAAAAAAAAATTTAGATAAATATATCAGAAAACTCAATTCACTCTGGAAAACCAACTGGTCATGACTGAAAACACCAAAGAAAATGAACAGTCCTGCAGCCGCTTGTACCCCTACAGCCAGCGTGAGCCCGTGCAACCGTTCCTTAAAGCAGAAGGCGTCCTTAATTCTTACTTCAAACCCACAACAAAACAAAACAAAAAGCTGTCAAAATGTATGAGGCCTTCCCAACTGGGAAAACAGTAGATTATTTCCAAAAGTTTATTTTCGAAACCAAGGAAAATTTCTGTCTGAGTACTAAAACCTAATGTCACCAGTGACTGAAAATAAAGACGATGCCACTATTCGCAAATCCAGTCTGCCATAACTAATCTTAATCCTTAATTTACCATTATTTTTCAATTAGAAATAGTGACGGGTGGGCAATCAAGAAGTGACAAAGAATAAAGAGCAGATTCCCTGCCTGTGGAGGGGCAGCAGGGAAAGACGACGGGCAAAACCACAGCGATAGGAACCCACGCTTGGCACAGTTGCCAGGGGAAGAACTAGGCAGAGTCTGAAAAGGAAAGATGATGCCATCAGTTTCCAAATCTTCGCTTTTATGTATATGTAGGAAAAAATACACATTTGGTGATATTTTATTTTTATTTTTAATTGATTTTGGAGAGAGAGGAAGGGAGAAGGGGAGAGAGAGAGAAACATCGATGAGAGAGAACATCAACTGGCCGCCTCCTGCACGCCCCCCACTGGGGCTCAGGCCCACGACCTGGGCATGTGTCCTGACCAGGAATCGAACCAGCGACCTCTTGGTGCAGGGTCGACGCTCAACCACTGAGCCACAGCGGCCGGCCATTTGGTGGTGTTTTAAACCAAAGTGACATAAACTGACATAAACCGGGGCGCCGCCGCCCCAGGCTCTGCCTCTGCCCCTGTCCTCACCTCCTGGGTGGGGGCCTGCCTGGCGAAGCCCAGAGTGTGGGCCTCTTCTCCACCACAAGCTGAAGATTGTTTACAAAGGCAGAATAATTTTAAATTTAAAATGTTTTGTTTGTTTGTTTGGATTTTGAACCTCGTCACTTGGTTTCTGATCTTGGATAAAGGCCGTGGGGTGCAGGGACTCTAACGTCACAAGAGACTGCAGGTTTCCATCCCCAGATTCACAAACCACCACTTGGGACCAGCGACACCACGGTCACAGGTCACATCCTCAACAACAATCACATTCCGATGATGCATTTCTGTTTTTATAGGTAAAAGACACGAGGCTCTGTCAGTGAATTACCCACGTTCCCAGAAAGGCAGGAACACTGAGAGTTTTGCTGCGGACACCTGAATTTCCCCAGGCCTGGAGCCACGCTGGGACGGGCCTTGTATGCAGCCTAATTACGTCCGAGCGCGCTCAACAGCGTCATGCTGAACCCGCACTCCGGCCGCAGAAGAACGACGGACAAGGTCCCTGTCACCATTCCCACCGCTCCGTTTAGTCATCGAGGAGAAAAGGTCCTACCCAGACGCTGTCTTCTCGTTGGTGCTGCTTCCAGTTGTGTCCTGTGTCACTGAACATGAGGCTGTAGCTTGTCACCCAGTCGGAGCTCCCGTATCTTCCCTGCGTGGCCACCGCTGTGACCTCCACTCTGCTCCCCAGGTCCATCTGGAGCCACTGCCGAGCATCGGAGTCTTCTGGGGACCACCCGCCGGTGCCTGGAGAGGATCACAGAGCTGTGGTGACATTTCCGACAGCCGCGCGTTCATCCCCAGAGACACGGCACAGTGCCACCAGGCGCCACCCCCATGCCCGGCTCTGTGCCTGATCCTCTGCCTCCTTCCTGGCCCAGCTGCCAGCCTCCCCACCAGCTAACGGCCTTTCCTGGAGTGAGGTGCATCTCAGATGCCACCTCCTCCACGATCCCTTCTCTCCTCCCTTTACAGTTTCCCTTCCAGGTGCAGTGGGATTCTCTGTACACCCTTCACCTTTAACATCTATATCCTCTGCCTCACTGACATCGCCTTCCTCCCTCCCTCCCTCGCTCTCTTCCTTCCTTCCTCCCTTCCCTTCCCTTCCTCCCTGCCCTGCCTCCTTCCCTCCTTCCCTTCCCTCCGTCCCTCCCTCCGTCCCTCCCTTCTTCCCTCCATCCCTCCCTTCTTCCCTCCGTCCCTCCCTTCTTCCCTCCTTCCTTTTTTCCTTTTATTCTTTCATCCCTGTCTCTCTTCTCTGTGCGTATCGCTTTCCAAATGTGTTCTTTGTGGAGAGCAGGGTTCTGCGGTGGGTGCAGAGATGCAAGGTCACAGACTGTGCCTTGGAGAGGCTCATGCTCCTCCATCCACCCGATGTGAATTGAGCACCAGAAGCATGCTGGGTGCTGAGGAAAGAGTCGTGCGAAGGATAGTGTAAGGGAGTGTGTAAGGCGGTATCTCGAGAGGTAGACACAGGTTCGGGAGGAGCACAGAAGACTGACTGAGTCACAGGTGACCAAGACGACGAAGGACAGTGAGTGTGGAGCTGCTTCCCAGGTAGACGAGGCAGGATAAGGACAGGGACACTTTGCAGAGGTCAGCCAGGGTCACGGGAAGGGCATGAGCACACCTCAGAGAGAAGTGAGAGCGTGCCACCTGCCTGGACCTGCACGGGACTCGGGTACTGGCACACAGGGACATCCTCACATGGAACTAAAGTCTTTGGACCCCAGAATTTTGATATTTGACACACTGGATGTTTGCAGATCAATATTAGCTCTTGCTTAGTTGGAAGACTTTGTTTAACTTTTCTGTCCTTATTTCAATGGGAATAAATAAAGTAACATTCATTTGTGCTGACCCCAGAGTTTATAAAACTTGTGAGCCCTGAGATGGCCCTGCACGATGCCCAATGGCACAGGGGAGGGGGGCAGGGATGCTCAGGGCATTTCTCCAGGAGCTCATTTACTTTTATTTAAAGAGGATTAGCAATGAGTACTATGTCACTGAAAATCATTTTAGTGATGCCACAGTCTACTTTCTTGCTATCTTTGGAGGAACCTATTGGGGTTCTCCTTGGTAACAGAGCCTCTGAGCCCCAGCTCCCTCTGCAGAGAGAGCCTCTCATCCTCCGATTGTGGATATGTAGACAAAGAGATGGAGGGCATGAGGCGGAACCCACGCTGGCCATAGGCCTGCAGTGCAAGTAAGCGTCCGTGTTCTCTCAATGAATAGCTGGTGCTATGGAGCTTTGGTTTGATGACGTATTTTCACTTCCTGAAAAGACTCAAATGCAAGAAAGGAAATAGGAAGAGTGTGCTCAGCACCACCGTGGACTGTTTCCTTCAGCGGTTTGCAGGGAGGGCGTGAGCACAGGGCACACATTGCTGACATTCACGGGTGCCCATCTCTGCGCTGGCAGGACTGCAGTGCACGAGGTTCAATTGCACGTTCCAGCTCTCCTGCTATTAGAGATCTGGCCACAGGGACACGTCCTCTCTGAAAAAAGTGTGAGTGGAGCCTTGGCCGGTTGCTCAACTGGTTGGAGTGTTGTCCCATGCACCGAAAAGGATGCAGATTCGATCCCTGGTCAGGGCCTGAATGACAGGCAGCTGATCGATGTTTCTCTCACATATTGATGCTTTTCTTTCTCTCTCCCCCTTCCTCTCTCTCTAAATGCAACAAAATCATATCCTGGGGTAAGAAGTTTTAAAAAAGAAAGAACACTATGAGTGGAAGAAAGGTGTGCCCGTGCAGGCCAGCGGGCCCCTCTCCCATCTGCGTTCCCCCCACCTCTGATGAGTGCCACTGACAACGGTCCTCGGTGATGGCAGGGATCCCGGGTTCCAGCATCAGCCCTGGACACCTGCCCTGACCTCTAATACCTGGAGTATGAACTAAAGAGCCATTGAGCGCGAGCCTTTGCTCGCAGGCTGGGATCTTCGACGCTGCGGGGAAGCCTCTTAATGCACAGACACACCCTGCGAAGCAAACACATAATCCCCGCAACGCAGGGGAGGAGCCTGAGGTGCAGCACGTCTGGAGCACCTGCACTCAGGATTCGAGCACAGCTATTTGAGCCTGCTATGTGACAGACGGAAAAGAGGGGGTTCTGAGAACCCAGAAGATGACTGGTGAGTAAAGGTAAGGGGAGGCCTTCGAGGAGCCAGATCCGCAAGCACATTTCGTTACTCAGCTCTGCCTTCCTCTGCAGGTACCCGGTCTCCGGCCCACACCCCACCTCTCAAACCTGGCTTAGGGAGGAGAAGGTTTTACATTTGCAAGAAATCTAAAATTACCCTGAACCTGCTCTTTGCTTCCACTTTGCCTTTCCACTTCAAGAGGCCCTTTCTTCTTAAGTGACAGGAAGCAAAGGTGTGTAAACCACACCATCGCCACAATGTTAAAACATGATAGAGACACATCTGCACGGTGCATTCTTCGGAGGGGCGAAGACTTCTTGGCCACGGCTCTTCTGCCTGTTGCATGGGGCCTGCTTTCTATCATCAGCATGTCGTTCTTTGATACACTGAGATCTCATTAGTCGTATTTACATGGTTTACTGCACAGAGTACATGTATCCGTTTCACAGCTGGTGGAACGATATAGGGCTCATGCCCGTTTGTGAGACTCCTCAAACTTTAACTGTTTCTCTTTTACCCCCAATAATCCACAACTAGGCTCCCTAGTTATGCCTCAGAGTTTTCCCTTCACTTATTCTAATTATTCTTCTTATAGGCATGAATGATAAAACTTATGTTGAGGATGAAACATAGAAACAAACAACAAAAAATGACAAGGAATTCGCCACACCACCTTGAAAGTATATCACAAAAGATGGACCAAAACAAACCAACAAAAAGGGGGAGAATTGATGCCTAAACAAACATTTCTTCAAATTTGTCCAACGGAAAAAAATCTCAGCTCCCTTTTGCCCACAGTACAAACCTTAGTTTCTTAATCCCCCTGAAATTAAGCCAAGGAATTGTTGCTGCTAGCATTCATTAACACATCAAGGATTATCCAAGCCCGGAGCCTCTGCCTCAGCTTTTAATTGGAGGGACTCTCTCTAGGTGACAAGTGCCAAGGACTCCTCCCCTACTGTTTGAGGTGCTCTCTGTGCCACAGCTAATAGGACCAACACCCAGGGTCGCCATGGTTGCTATGGCAAATATTGTGTTCCTTCTTCAGAACAATAAATGTGTTTTCACAAATGATGAGAGTAACCCGAAGATACTGTTTGCATTTTCTCTAAAGACACACCATAGCCAGGCTAGCTTTCTGCTTCTGAATTATTCTCTAGATTGAAGGTGTAACATACACAGATACCTGTGTTTGGCAAGTTAAAGGTGTTAACAAGGACGGTGCCCGCTGTAACTGTGGCTGTGGCATCAGTGGCTGTGGTATCAGTTACTATTAACTGCAATTCCCATAAATCCTGTGTTTAAACTCAGAGGAATTTAATGGAAATGTAAAGAACCATTTTAATTTTAAAAGAAAAGTAACCTCCCCTTAGATTTTTGCAGCGTCTAGAGCGTTTCAATAGTCCTGAAACATGGGACACTGAGTGATTTGGAGGCATTATCTAGTGCATAGCTAGCAGACCCCAAGCACCATGCTCTTCACATTACATTATTGGACTTTGGGAAAAAATGGGAAGAGGAGATGGTGCACTGAAAACCAGGAGACCTGGTTCCAGCTGTACTCCAGAGGTTAGATGATACGAGAGATTCTCAAAGGTGCTAAACCATCGGAAACACCTAGAGAGCTTGTGAAGACCACACTCGCAAATGCCTGGCCCTGGCCCTTGATAACTTATTCAGGGGCCTAACCTGAAAATCTGTATTTTTAGAAAGCTACTCATGATATGCCAAGTGGTTTGGGAAACACAAGATGAGATAGCTTCTTAGGTTTCAGTTTTATTTTTTTAATTCTTAGATATTGAGTTTATTTATTTATTTTTATTTTTCTTATTAGTTAATTTATTCATTTATTTTTGTTACAGATGTTTCTCCTTTTTCCCTCACAGATTCTCCCCTCCCTCTCCCTCCCCGCCCTGTCTCCAGCTTTGTTGTCCATGTCCATTGTTCATGCATACATGCATATAAGTTCTATGGTTTATCTCTCCCCCACAACCCTCTCTTCTAGGGATTGTCAGTCTGTACCCCACTTCCACGTCTCTGGGACTACCCCATTCCTCAGACTGTTATGTTCATTATATTCCACAAATACGTGGGATCATATGATACTTGTCTTTCTCTGTTTGGCTTGTGTTGCTTAAGATAATACTTTCCAGGTCCCTCCGTGTCATCTCAAAGGATAAGAGATCTTTCTTTCTTACAGCTGCATAGTACTCCACTGTGTATATGAACCACAGCTTTTTCATCCACTCACCTACTGATGGACATTTGGGCTGTTTCCAGATCTTAGCTATCGTAAATAGTGCTGCTATGAACATGGGGGTACATATATTCTTTCTAATTGGTGTTTCAGGCTTCTTAGGGTATATTCCTAGAAGTGGGATCACTGGGTCAAATGGAAGTTCAATTTTTAATTTTCTGAGGTAACACCATATTGTTTTCCATAGTGGCTGCACCAGTCTGCATTGCCACCAATAGGATACTGGAGTCCCCTTTTCTCCACACCCTCAACAACACTTGTTCTTTGATGATGGCGGCCATTCTGACAGGTGTGAGGTGATACCTCATTGTTGTTTTAATTTGCATCTCTCTGATGATTAGTGATGT